GAGAAACATTCCGTCCGACGGCGAACGGTTGTTTTTTTGCCGGTAAGATTTGACGGAAGTGTGTGTTCTGCGACAGTTGACGCGAAAACTGAGGCCTTGTTTCGTCTCGGACCCGGGAAATTTCGGAGTACTACCGTTAATAAGACAACAACTTTCGACAAATATGCGCTATATTTAAAACGGTCAATTATTAGTTTTTAAATAAGGTACGGTGACGAGTGCAAGCGCATCGCACAAAAGTAGGTGTAATGTACCCGGTATGTTTGATGAGACCCATAGATTGCATGTTGCGATGAACGTTACTCTCCGATGGCGTCTCAAGTGGTGAACCAGCTTTTAATGTTAAAACCAATGAAATCCGTGTAGCTGTATCGATCTGTGTTCCGTGTACGTGAATCCTACCCGTACAACAAAAAGGCACCAGAAACGTTTTGATCGAGAAAGTACTTTTGGAAAAATATCGTACGGTAATTTTCAAATAGCAACCGTCTTTTCAATTTATTTTCCGTGAAATATTAATATAAATTCACAATTACAAAACCGTATTATCATTCGCCGGGCGTTCAATAGCGTTGTAATAATTTTAAATCAAACCCCGAGGAGTAGGGTACAGAATATACGAACAGTTCACCGAACGCGTGTTTCTTTACTTGCTCAGTAAGAGTTTGAAAAAATCAAACTGTTATTTTGATTCCGATATTAAATGTATGTATGCTTATTGTGTCAAAGTATTTGAGAACGTATTCCTTTTGAAGATTAAAATTTTAAATTGAAAGTTCAATTTGAATATCTGATATATCGGCCCCGTGTTCATTTTAACGTAACGAATTACGCACAGTCGACAAATAATGAAAATAACATAAAGAATTATAATATTATCTATCTTATTCGGTCTATAAAAAGTCGAATCGTTGAAAAATCTCTATGTATGTAAATTTATTTTTATTTTAGAATATTTTTTCGTTTTAAAAATACGAGCAATAATAATTGTAATTTGGTTTTTGTAGAACGTGATTTTTTATTCATCTAAAACTTTTTTAGACAGTCGACCCAATGAACACGTTACCCCGCGGTATATTTGCTAATAATACGCGTGGGTAGAGTACGCGTGTGGACCGTAGGTTAAGTAGGGATAGGGATTTTTGAAAAGCTGAACGCGAGTGTCAATCACAAGCTTGTAAAATATATTTCGATGATATCAACAGCTACCTGAATTCTCGAGTAAAAAACAATCTGCGTTCAAACTGTTATCAAAAACAATAATATTGACACATTTCAATTCAAAAACACAATACGTACAACACCGTACCAACTGCGCCAATAGGCTATTGCGGAATCATTGTAGTAAAGTTTTATAATCTTATCGTCGACTGCAAGTTGAAATTATTATTAATACATAAAATGAATAAAAAAATAAAATTAATAATAAGAAAACCTTTTTCATAATGTCGCGTACGACTGTTCATATTTGCCTTAATGTCCTTGGTACTCGCAACATCTGGTTGTAGTGAGATTTTTCGTTTGAGGTTCAAACACCCGACGGCCGTGTGTAATATTGATGTTTTGTATGTACGTTCAACGCATTATCCTTGCACGGGTTTCTTCGTAGATCCGTAGCTCACGTAGAGTATGCTCGACGATAACCGATAGACGCAATGGCGTAGCGTGAGTTTGGAGAAAACGTAAGCGGAAAAATGTTAAATCTTAACAGTTGAAACTATGATTTCGTGCAAATCGAACGTTCTTGAACTTTTTAGTAAAGCCTTCAATTGGTTCGTCGTGGAAAAAAATGTTGTTTGCGAACACTTCAACTGTTGTTCCGTAGTTAGGAAATGAAAATAAAATACCAACTATTACACGTCCACCGGTACACAAACAACGGGGCACCGTATGCAAAATCACGAGTGCTTACAAATGGTGTGCAAACGAAGTCCCCTCCACGGCATTGAACGCGTATCGCATCGACGGGCTCACGTGTAAGCGGTTTCAAAACATGTAACACGACGCGCAAATACCGAGCAATAAAACTGTAACGGAACAAATATTGATTATCCACCGTCGACGATCACAAAACTGCCGTAATCGTTCACGCATCGTCGTACTCTTGCAAATATTTATCGTTTTATCATTTGTAAAAACCAATATATGTTCACACGTCACTTGAAATTCGTAATCAAAATAACATTATCGACATTTTCCGTCGCAGCGTTCATGCGAACGCTACGCCCCTGACCAATGATACAATAACGTTTGGCATATTTTTCTGGACGAAAGACAAATAAGAGCACACGCGCGTCGTTCGAATTTCCGTCAATTTTTTTTTTCTCCGTAACCGTGAAGTACTGAAGTTTCTTACTTTTTTATCCGCTGTAGGAAAGTTTATATTCTACCGGCAAGCTATTCGTCACGAAAAGCGGTTTGAACGCGTTCGATCCGAGCGGATCGCGGCCAATCGTCCGACTTGGCGCACTCCAAGTGCTCTCCAGCAATGCGTTTCGTCGCGGTTTCGAACTCACGTGTTGCCGCAGTTTTCGACCGCGAACCACTCGTACGTAGGGCTAGCAAAAAAATATCGATAGTTTTCATCCGATAATATCGGCACATCGATATTTTAGGTTTTCGATTTATCGGTAAACGATATATTGAGGTCAGGGAAATTTCTGCCATCCCTACTCGCACGTCGTCGCGTGTGCGTTACGGCGGACGCGAAATGGTCCTCGGAAAACGTGTAGGCCCGTCAACGTTATGCAAATGATTCGCCGGTCGTCCGCAGCCGAATTGCGCTTCGATCGCGCACGGGTTTCGGATCGATGGCGGTGAAAAAGAAACAAAAAAAAACACGTCCGTCTCGTCACGTCGTTGTTGCGCGCGCTCGACCGGCGTATCGTGTGCGAGAAACGTCATCCTGCGGTTCGAATGAGAGAGAAAATACGGTTTCGACGGATAAACGACGGCATTGTATTTGCATAATATGGAATCGAACGGACGGGGAAGGCGCCGGACAACTGGCAATAAAACGCACTCCGCGCATGCATATTAAACGGTTTCGCGTGCATTGCGTTTACAATGACAATGCGCGTAAGTGGAAAATATGGTTTTTAATTTTTTCCCGGTCGCGTCCTCCCGCTCACGGATTACGTATTTCGGCGAGCCCATTAAACGGAATAAAAAAAAATTCCGGTTGTAACGTCCATTCCGATTCCTTTTTTTCTCCGTCGATCGCGTCCCGTCGTATCACCATTGGTAGTGTATCGGTGAATATATTTACAGGTTTACGCATTAAAAAAATATAGATTTTAATACTAAAACAAATGTTATGGCTTCGTTCGACTATTTTTTTTTTCTTGATACGTTCGAATAAATTTAACTAATCCTTCGTACATGTTTATAACTTCTAACAAGACATTACAATATAAAACCGTAAGATATTCATTTGCCGCGCGTTATAAATTGCATGGTGCAGATTTAAGAACCGACGTATAAATATGCCCATACTCCATATTGTTTGTCAATGTTATTCACTACAATTAACTTATATTACATTAACACGGCGTACACTGTAATCCTCAACGGATAAATATTTCAATCAACTCATGGTTCATAAACAATTACATTTTTTTTTCGCATCATTTTGGAAGCGTATACCTGTAAAACAATATTTTACATTAGGTATACGTCGAAAATCGAAAAATCTGCTGACGGGTGTACCCGTGTTACGGGTACCCAATACACCCCTGCGTATCACAATACTCCGCGAAACGGCATCGCTGCTGCGTACTGATACGAAAACGTGTGTCCAAGACCGGATGACCACGACCGCACGGCCGCGTTTTTTATTTTTTTTAAAAATATTATACGTGTAGTCATTAATAATGATTAGTACGTTATTTACATAATTTCCCATTCAATGATATATATATATATATATTGTATAATTGTATAGGTTCTCAGTACAAAAGAAAAAATTAATGTTTACCTATCTAAAATTAAAAACGTAGTTTTTCTTACCGACAATAATTTTTATGACGCTTCCTAGATTCACATAATACTTTGCACGCCCTAGGGCACTTCTCCCCCTCACTTTGGGACGGCTAAGGTAACGCACCTTGACTGTGTACGATATTCGCACCACATTATATCCGTACGGGTCGCTGAAGTCGCTGAAAATAACTCATTGATTGCATTTCGATGTAATTGTTATAGTTTGACACGAAGTGCCAATGACCATCTCGCGCCTACGATTGTGTCGTACGCACGTCGTCGGCGAAACGACGACTGAGCTTTTTACCGTTGCAAACGTGTCCACGCTGTTAACCGAAAATAACGACACGTGTGTGCACGCGTAGGTGTGACTGGGAACTTACGCTTATTTCGGGGTTAAACGGTGTCGAGACGGTACACTTTTGCGATTCCACTCGTTTCCTTGCAGCCGGTCTCATCGCTCTCACTCAACTACGCAGTGGAATTGTGTGTACACGGTTCAATTTGAATTTTTAATGAGTACACGCACGCATATATATATATATATATATATATATATATATATACATACTCGTACATATAAGAATTCTATTTCGTTTGAACACGAATTCAAAATTAACGACAGTTAAAAAATCGAAAACATTCCGAGGTTCAATAATTTTTTATAGGGAGGACTGTGAACATATTTGGGTGAGATTCAGCCTCCATATTTTTCATCACTAGTTGCGCCTTTAACGGGATGTCCACAGGTTCATAGCAGTATACATTGAGGGAGAGTTTGTTTAATTATTTATCGATTTTTATTAAATATAAATAACAATTAAAAGGAATTATATATGTTCAAATAGTAATACAATTTATATATATATATATATAATAACCGTTCGTTTTTTCTTCATCTCTCGGAGATGCGTGTAGATAAACATAGAGAGCTTAAATTATTACATAATTTATAGTATATAACGCATGCGTTACATAGAATTACGCCCTATATGTACATTAGAAATAAAAAATAATACATTTCTTAAGTAGAAAAAAATTAATTCGACAAAAGGGTATATGTATAAAAAAAAAAAGATAACCGAGGATATGTCACGGGGAATGTGTTGTTCGTCGTACAGCCGTAATACTGGTTAAGTACAATCGTTATTGTAGTAAATATTCGATTGATAATTAATATTCTATAAATATATACGAATGCAGTTTATATAAAATAGAACGCTTTGTGTTCAATACGTCGTAATCCGTTTGAGCGCGAAAAACGTTTTTCGTTTTGTTCGAATGACAGTATACAGTATATATGATAATAATAATAATAAGAATAATAAAAACAGAAATTTCCACAAGAGTGGAGGGAGGAGCGGAAGTATCGCGACCCGGAAAATTTTGATCAACAAAAAAAATAATTATAATAAGAGGTAATTCTAATCAATTAATTTTCGTTAGAAGTCTTCAATGCCTCATGTGACTGTCCTCGGTGGCCAACGTCGCGTTGTAGTTTTCGAATTGCCACATTTGTTTGGGCAACGTCACGTCGCATTCTTCCATGAGCAGCTTGTCTTTAGTGTCGTTGATGGCCAGACACTTTCTACTGCTACCGTGCCGCAATTGTTTGGACTGTAAAAATAAAAACAAAATAACCCATTATGAATCCGACGATTGCGACCAACCACTAGCTGTTACTGTAAACGGTAAAAATCGACCGATTTTTATTGGAAAAAAGTTTTATTTTTCAATTGTAATTCGTGACTTACACGCGGTAGATTAAACTTTATTATACTATACTATACTATACTATTAACTATATTATATTATAACAAATTCTTAACATATAAAGTTTAGACATATTTTATAAAACTATATATATTTAAAGTTATAAATTAGTGCGATTGCACTAAAAAAAATAATTTTAATAATTGTACGTTATTCACGCCTGTCACAAATATATTGTACGCACCGAAATTCCGTCTTACAACACGGAAATTATTTAGCAAGGGGCACGTCAAATTATAATAACGTCAAACTTCAAAAATAAGATTTTAAAGTTAGTGCATCATACAACTTTTATACAGTTTGGGTAAATAAGCAATAGTTTTTTTTGTTTTTAACGGTTTTTAAATAATGTCCTTGGTTTGACTATGTTAAATGAAAATTTTTACGATATATGTATATGTATATTTTTTAGACTTTTTGTAGAATATTAATTTATAAAAGTTTTTTTTTTTTATAAAATCCTGCTCTAAATCGTGTAAAAATAGGTGTACAATTTATAAATTAGAAGCGGTGTGTCCAAAATGTATCTAAATGATAACTAATACGTGATTATAATATGCGAGTCTTTATGAGCTCTCTCAATAACAAATAATAATGGTTGTTTTCTTGTGTTCGGTATACAAATTTTTTTTTTTTTAAAATTAGTGGATGTTTTATTTTAATTGAATATTACAAGATATTTTTTTTTTTGTTTAGAAAGGAAAGGAAACAATATCATTGGAAAAGCGTTCTGATAAAGATGTTGGGAGCCACGTGAAATGTGAACCTACCACTTAGAAACATAGCTTTTGTGCGAAATAGATGTATTTGTTCTTGGAAAATTTAAATAGTAAATTTAAACTGTATAAAATAAATATAACATTTAAAGGTTTAATATAAGCGCTTTTTCAGAACACTAGATATTTTATCCGATCGTATCAACAATGTAGTAATAATTTATCATTACATTTGAAATGACAATTAATAGTAGAGTTTCGTATTTATTTAACCATAGCATGTAAGTTATTAATCAAATATTACATGCGGAGAAACAATTGAGGGAAAAATGAGAACGAGTAAATCCAAATCGAAAAATATATACTTTAAAGTAAAACAGTGTATTTTGAATTATTGTTATCACATGTATTATTTTATATACAAGAAAAATAATTTGTAATTTCGCATTTACCGTGAGGTTCACATCTTCAAGTGCATCAATTCGCTTTCAATCACTATCGATTATGTTAGGTACGGTTTGGCAATTCAGAGAAGAGAGAAAAAATAGACAACGATGGTGAAATCCTGTATCGTCGACTGTAAAAATCGGTAATTTTTTTTTACTGCCACAAAATAACGGGTGCGTACAACCAAGAGCTATCAATATGGCTGAGGTTATAATCGCATATGGTACACAGATTTTGTTTATTGCCTGTATACGATGAAATAGCGCCAAACACGATTTCGCGGGGTATAATTGCGGAGACATCGTTTCCCTTACAACTCGTATATGACCGACAGCAATTACATCGATTGAGCTGTACGGCGTATATTTATATATAAATACCATATAAATATATATAAGCGTAGTAGAGTTTGGAGCGAAATGTCGATAGATTAATGGCACTCTGATGACCAGTAATTCGGACTATGTCATCCGTCGTCTGTTTCACGATTAATATATCACAATATAGCATACAGTGTTGCAAAGGAGCTACTCGGTATACAAGTTTTAATATATTTTTAATGTATTATCAATACTATTATAATTCACGTAAAATAAATATCAGAAAATATCCAAACGAATTGTCTGGACATATTGAAAAATATTTTGATAAATAAAAATAATATTAATAATTTAATAATGTTATAATAATGTTTATAATCATAATTATTATAATAATAATATTTTGAATTATATACATGTTCATGAATAATATCAATAGTAATTTTGGTATTCAAGTTGCTACAACACGAATACTTTTTTAATTTTAACTCAAGATGGGAAAATTGCATATTACCAACTTCAAAGTTTGTCAATATTTGCGATTACGTTGCAAAACAGTTATATTAAAGATGATTCTTTTAGATTATAATATGAATAATAAATAGATAGAGACTGACACTGTGTTCGTATAATATGGAGTAAATTAAAATTAAGCGAAATGCCTATTAAAGAAATATACAAAGTCAACGAATCGATGAAAAAAATAATGAAAAATATACATACATAGATTTCAAATAAATTGCATTTGTCATTTTAAAAAGCGCTATAAAAATGTGTAATGTTCATAGTTTAACATCTCAAAATAAATATAAGGAGAACTGATCAATAAAAAATTTTAAAATTCAATGTTTTATAAATTGTTTATTATTGTTATTTTGTTTTTGTAAAATCCTGTCAGTACATGGTAAACATAAATTATACTTGCACACATTATATCGCATAGGTATGTACATAAAATGTGTAGTAAATTGCTGTGCATGTACAAATTTACTGCACACAATATTGTATTGTGTACGACTTTGAGCGTACATAGAAACAGTGAATGAAACAATTGGTAAGTATAAGGATTAAATAAGGGATTTTTTTTTAATAAAAAACAAACCAGAAATTATTATGTAATGTATATATATAATGTTTAAAAGCGTTGAAATAAAATTAAATCTTTAATACTCACATGTGGATCGTAACTCCAGTACTGATTGCCCTTAGATCCATGGCACGGGTATAAGATCACGTCGAGTCCGGCGTAGTCCAAGCACGACTCGTCTCGCCTGATCTCACCTATTTTACTGAGCATCCAATACTAAAAAAGCATTCAGCAAAATGTACGATTAGAATAATAATTCGATATTTTGGAGAAGGGTGTACGATGCGGTGAGGTACGGTAGCGAAGAGGATAATTTAAATGAACATGTCGGCCAAGTACGGTAAAACCAACGATTAGGAATCACTCGGACAGTTCGTGGAGGGAAAAAAAATGTTGACGGAAAACACACACACGCACACGCTCGTTCGTTGCACACACACACACGGCATAAACTTAAGTTACATATTTAAATGAAAAGTAGTTCGTGTGCGTGCGTACAAAACGTCGGGTACGTACGATATGGTATTATATGCCAAGAAGAAGAAGGGAGACGAGGATAACGTGCATGCATAATTTGTATTAGTCAAATAGCTTCGGGAATTACCGTGGAACGTAAAATATTGTACATCGACAAAACGCACGGGCATCCGTTTGTTTGTCGCGTACAAGACACCACCGTTTTGACAAGTGTGAGGTAATAGCGTTAGAGAAGGGCGAACGTGTGCAGATCGCGATTTATTGTTATTATCATTGTTATTCGTTTTCTGCGCGTAAAAAGTTTACAAAAATAAAAAGCCGAAGTGTCGCGCGCCACAAGAAGATTATAAATCCCCCCCCGAGCGACTTGTACTGCAATATCTGTACATGCATATATATATACACACATGCGGATGGTTTTATTTCTTCTCTATACGCGGGGGCGGGGGGAATTATGTAATACGTTTTGTTACCAGGCATGAATATAGAAGATAACGGTATTTGAGAGCAAAAGGAAAACGAAAATATTTGAGATCCTGAGCATTTTAAGGACCAGACCGGACTTTAAATTTTACCAGAGGACCGAAGTCGGACCGGACCACACTTAAACGTTAATCAAAAACCAAAATTGGACCGAACCGACGGCTTTATATTATTTTTAGAATGGACCGGACCAGTAATTAAATAATATTTGATAAAGTAGACCGTGAACCGGACTTTCGGTTCGATTTTAAAACATTTTGGACCGTTTATAGACCGGTATGTAAGGTTCAATCTCTATTAGCCCAGACAGTACCAAATGATGCGTTTAATATTACACTGGACCGGACTACCCGACTTTATAAATAAATATTTGCCTAAAGTTGCAGGTTTTTTCGTTTTATTTGTTTACATAACAATATTTGTATTTAAATTTTAAGTACCATGATTGGGACTGGACTGATACCGGACCTGACTAATTTTCATTTTTTTTTTTTTTGAAACCGGACCAGACTGAAAATAATGTATTTAATCTGAGGACTGGACCGAACTACTCCTAAAAATTGTTGAACCGGTCCAAACCGATGATTCAATAGTTTTGTATGTTAGTACTAGACTGATTAAGACCGGACCATGCAGAGCTCTAGTAAGTAGTTTGGGCGCGAGTGCCGAGTGTGCTTGCCGTCGGGCGTACGATTGACTGTAAAGGTGAGATGCGTTCGCGTTGACGGAACCCTTGTTCGGGGCCGAGTGCTTGTCTACGGAAAAACGCTAAGAAAACACGTAACCATAAAACGTATCGGACACGCATATTCATAATATTCCCCTTGTCGAGTTTGTCGTGTTTTTATAGTCCATTAATTAGTTTGCTGTCAGCGCTGTAATCATAGTTGCACAACGTTAGCGTCAGTTTGAAAAACAAAAACCGTTCCCACCACAGAATTTAATAACCATAATTGTTCATATTTTTTCCCTTAACTGCATCAACTTTCGTGCGAATTTAATTTCAACCATTCAAAATTTATGTAGCGAACACGTTTTTCACTCCCTTTTTTTACTCAATAATAACGTTCGTAAATATTTTTTTCCCCGTCGTGTAACGACCGTGAAAGGTTTTTGTCAATGTACCTTGTTCACTCGGGTAGGGGTCAAGTGGAATGTAGCATTGGTTTTTTCTAAGTAGAGAATTATCACGGGTGTGGACTTTACTTCCAGTAGTGGTAAGCAACCAGAGCGATAGCAGGGGAGAGAGATTACAGAATTAAATCTTCCGAATGTTATTTTGCGTTATGTCGGGTTCGAACTGATGATTGCATACGTCTCGATCATCACTGCACCACACTGCTCCTAATAAATATTTTGAATATATTTACTTTAATTTAAAAAAAAAAAATAAATTGAATAACTCCCCTTAAAAAGGTATCGATTATACAGTAACAGCGTAGGCAGCTAAAATGAGCCGGGTGTCGACAATTTTTTTCCGTCAAATTTAAAATTTTTTTATAAATAGCTGATGTATAAATGGATACGTGTGGGTGGGTGGGCTCAAATCGAAAACGTGACACCTCGAGGTTATAAACGTATAACCTATTATATTATATTATAATATTAACACACGTGTTCGATGGTTATAACATGCGATTTGGAAAACTGACCACGGGAAAAACTACTATGTGTTCTAGGACGTATAAAAATATGCGAATGGGGTTGATCGCATGAAAAATGTTTTTTTTTGTTCACAAACTAAAAGCTTTCAATCTTGCGTAACCGGCACCAATTATCATTAACGAATTGTTATGTGAACATTTGTAGCGAATTTCTAAACAACAAATCGTTAATATATATCTAATCGATGTATATTTACACTTAAATACACCGTATGTACATGTATGTGTGTGTGTGATTTTACCTGATTGCCACCCTGTTGGTGGCACTCCCACAAATCGACGGGCGTGTTCGTGTCACCTTTCGAGTCTACACACATGTTCGACACAACGTTTTTTATCTATAATGTCGAAATGAAAAAAAAAAAAACAAAACAATATTTAAACATTGGTAAAATGCAGAGAAATGCAATAGCACGAACGTTACGCGCGGTTCAGAGATTATACACGAACGTTTACGCAGCGTGTCGTGTACGTATATACGTAGTATATGACAGGTGTTATATGTATACATTACACATAATGGTGAGTATATTTTATAGTTGCGGCGACGTATGTATGTGTACATAAATATATATACATGGTGTAGTGATAAATATTATCCCTTTACGAAATAAAAGTGAAATAAACGTGGTGTCGTTATGTTCTCGAGAACAACAAGAGAAACATTTGTGCAAAGGATGTGCAGAAGAGGAATCGTGCATAGGATATGTTAATTCGTTGTATACCGACTCGACCTCGACAATCCTTTAAAAAGCCTCTGTGCCGGTAAACGAGACATATTCCCACCTGATTGCCACCCATTTTGTGGCAGGGGTACAGTCCAGCCGGTTTGTTGAGGTCGGTCTTTCTGGCCGGTGAGTCCAGACAAGTTTTGTTGCCGTATCCTAAATTGCGTACCTGATTCCCAATACATAAATTTAAACATAAAACGTATAAAACATCATACACTATAAATATACGCATTAAAGAGCGCTTAAGTATTGCACACGTGTACATTGATTCGGTGTTAGCATCGAGCTGTGATTGGTACTATCGAGAAAAATCTACATAAACCGATGTCATTGAGGCATTGACGTTTCAAATAACATAACGAATTATTTTCTTCGAGATCACGTAAAAAGTGCATAAATCGAACATAAAATAATAACTGACTGAAGTTGAGTCGATGCAGTAGAGCTCATATGATACATATGCGTTCTATTTTATAAAATGTTAAACGAATAAATACACATCGTCGTCTGCCACAGTAATGTGATTTTACTGATTAATTGATTAACCTTTTGAAATTATATTAAGTAGTGCCGCTCGTCCGAGTGGTATGGGTATCTAAATGGTACATTGTTGCTTTTGATAATTTGACAATTCAATTTAAAGGTGAGTGTACAAGAAGATGAGTTTTCTGTTGCAAACATAAGATAGCATATCGACTCGTTCGAATATGTTTTTCTAACATTCAATATTGTCTGTAGGGATACGTTTCATATTGCGTTTAATACTAATGGATTTTATGTTAACCATATGGAAAAAAAAAAGAAGTTCAGTACACAATAATCGGATATAAACAGTATTTGATGATAAAAAACATGAATAATAAAAATAAAAATAAAACATTATTCTTTTCGGATGAAAAACCCATTTTCTTTATAATGTATATACGAAGTGTATAACGATGGATTTGCATTTTATGAGAATATGAATATATAAATAATAAAATAATTAAAATTCATAAATATTTTATCGATATCATTGATATCGGTGTGTACATTTTTGTTTCTTCAGCGAACAACAAAATATTAGATAAACGCAAAATGAATAAAAACTAGGATAAAAGAAAAATTTTGTCGTACTGAAACTTTGAAAAATGTTTTATCTGATGGGGAAAAACTCAATTTCAAAAGAATTGGATATAATTGTTTTCCGCGGTACAGAGAAAAGAAACATAAACGAAATGCTATTCCCAATCAAATAAGTAAAATAAGAGAATATGGCAGTCTAAGAAGTTCGCAAAATAAACTTGTTTGCCTAAAAACTTTTTGTGCGTGCGCGATAGATGACGACTGCGACCTAAGTATATTCCTGCGGCCTCGTTCATGGTAAATGTGTGTTTTTTTTTACCTCTCCGGACGCCACAGCATCGCCGGGTATGAAAAGTTCCGGGTATATATTTTCCAAATACCATTTGAATGACTTGCATTTCAATTTTCTTCTCAGCTCTTTGCGTGACGTAATATCACCATAATCACCCTGTGCGAAACAAAACTTCGTTAATATTTCTCTTCTGAAACACGTTAAACGTATTTATTTTGCAACTTTATAGGGTGGACGACATGAGACGTTTTTAATTAAAATTATTTCATTTTATTATATCATTTACATTATACGACGTCCAATACTGCTCCTTGGATGGTTTGAAATCCTAACTGAAAGGTATATATGTTATAAAATACATGTTCATCGCAATACACTCCAATACACTTGACAGAGACCTTTATAGAGTTTATTTTGATTGTTTACACTGTAACGGCATCGGGTACGTTTTTTGTTGACGTTTCGTACAATGTTTTTTCGCGGAGAGTGAATATTACTCGCATAGAACACTCGAAAGCTTGTAACAGTTTAAATATTATTTGATCGTATTCCGTCATATAGAAAGAAGTATAATATAATTTAAATTAATGATGTACAGGAATAATTTCTCTAGAAATTGAGGGAACTCGTTTGAATAATTTTCGAAAGAGTATTAATGGTTTTGATGTTCAGCAAACATAATGAGAGAGAGAAAAATATAATTTAATGTAAATTATTGTTAGCACATATATATTCTTAAAAAAAACGATTGTTATATGTATATAGGATTGGAAAGTAATAGCATTTGCATGTTTTTATCGGCTTCCAAATTTTATGGCGATAAATCCGTTTTTTTGCATTGTGCAGATGGGCTTTATTTTGCATATTTTATTGATGTTTGACCACTATTGCACATACTGTTCAATGTTCTATGTGTACTGGTGTATATAAATTTTGTTTTAACCAATAAAGTGTAATAGGTGCACATGGAAAATCAGATATTGCATTAAGTTTTTATCAAAATAAAAACATTTTTAGAAACTCTTATTTTTCCGCAATTCAGCGAACATTTAATATACCTACATAGTAAACGGAATTTAACGTATACAATTTTACAATGTGCGTGTGTTTCAATTGCGAACATCTGTGAAATTCGTTAATGATAACGGTCGTCATTAACACAGCAGCATTGGAGGCGAAAAAAAAATGTTCTCACCAGGTCGTTGCCGATCCGTTCGTAGTAGTACTTTGCGTAATCGTCCATCCACACCTCGGCCAGTCGGATAGAATTCTTTTTCAATACGTTGACGCCTGTCCGCCACTTGTACGGCGATCGTTTTCTGAATATGTGACCGACGTGTGAACACGGAACGATTTCCAATGTTCCACCGCACATCCATGTCTATAACATACGTAGGAAAAACAATGCGTTATTATTATAATGATAAAAATACCAAATTTAAATACGTGACAACCAAGCGTATGGATTTGAAACTTTCATGCGACGGTAGTAATCCCATAGATATGATCATCAAGTGTTGGGAATTTCACCAAAATGCAATGTATAATCAGTCAAGACCGACTAGAATATTACATCACCGTTATATGTTGACAAAGCGATCAAGAAAATTTTTTATTTTTCATTTTTCAAACGGGAAAACGACGACGTGGGGTTTGTCGGTGTAACGATTCGCGCAGTTTATCTACGCATGTCACACGAATCCGACGCGGATGTTGTATGCATGTGACCTACCTTGAACGAAAGCTCCAAGTTTTCACCTCCCCATATGTCGAAACCACTGTCGTAGGTGCCGAGGCGCTCGAAAAACTTCTTGTCGATGGCGAATAGTCCGCCGGCCATTGTCGGCGACCACACCGGTTCCGCGGGGTTTTTGTGCCGTTTTTTCTCCCGGTCCGGTACCACGTGCCAATTGAACTGGAAAAACAAAACCAACAAAATTACACACTGTCGTCGTAATACACTTGTACATGTGAGCGAGTGAATTCATATCGTTACAATAATGACTGCGACGAGGCCCGGAGCATAAAATATGTAAAACCTAATGCGAACGCGGACGGGGGAGCAAAGGGACCGAGCGCACACAACTTGACAAATAAAACGTTTTATGTATAAGTTATCTTACACAAGAATACGGAAAACTACGGAGGGACGGCCGGGAGATGTAATAATAAAATACACACGTATATTTATGCAAGACTAAAATCGGGGACTTGTATTAATGGACCGCGCCCTCACTTATTACTCGTATTATGTGTAATCTTAACAACTCTGGTGGCTCGTTCGCGGTAACCTCGAAACCGCTGTTTTCGTGTACACGGCATTGTGTACGTTTCAGGTGCGTTCGGTGTGCAAAGCCGAAGTTAAACCATTAACACGTAATATGGTTAGGCCTAAATGGCAGTCCGGCGACCGCATTAACGTATAAACTTATATCGACCGTGAAAATGAATTTGTCACAATAAGTATTGATATAATTTAAATTAGGTGCGAATTGAGATGCAGGTGACGTAGTGCAGCGTACGAAAAACGTGAGCACATATTACTACGGAATTTTTCTGTTTATTCGGTTAAGTCATGAGAAACATGAAAGTAGAACATTTAATTACAATTAAGTTCTGAATCAGATTTTGATGATTAATTTGATAAACTTCTTTTGTTATATTTGTTAACTAAGTATAAAAATTGTATAAAAGCAATTCGATAAAAAAAAAAAGGAAAGGTTAGTGCAATTTGTCATCGGAATTTTCTGACAAACAATTTTCGAACTACTTTCGCTTGAACTGAAATCAATCGAAATATATTTCAATTGACGCAGTACTGCTTTGCTCTGTAATAAATTACAGAAAACTATACTACACTATCCTACGCTGTGTTATGTCACCTGCGTCTTGATTTTCCCACCCCAAGCGGGTTGAACTCATTTTTGATGAGGAGCAAAAGTTTATACAAGGTATACAGTGATATGCATAGACAATGAGAGTAAATATCGTTTTGAATATGATAAAATGTTCGTGGTCTAACCTAGCATAATGTATAATGTTTAACACGAATAGGAGGAGCAAACGTAACTGCAACAGTATCTGCGCGATCGACTTTTTACTGTTTTTTTTTTGCGCTATGTCATGTATTTAATCACGATTTCCATTGGATTTAATGAAAAAACGTGAATGCAACGTGAGTGTATACATAATATTTATTTTAACAAAAAAAAATTTGCTGTACCACCGTCGAGTTCGATTCTACGAAGGTATTTGCTAAAAAATAAAAAAAACCAACCAGATAATAATTGCTATTTGCAATTGTACAATAATAATAATAGCACAGTCTTTTTTTCCTATTGGTTCAAAATATCAAGCCTGCAAAAATAGAAACAACAACCCTTGTGCACGGTATAGTTGTAATTGATACGGATAAAATAAGATACAAGTATAATAAATAACAAAGGCAATTTTAATAATAATTACTCATTATATTTATTCGCGATAAGCGTGTTGCTCGCTCCGGTTCACAATTTCCAGCTAGTCATAATACCATACCAGTTTTACGCACAGTCGAATGTTTAAGAAAATTAAAAATAAGTAATATTAATATATTTTTCATTCAAAATAATTATCACTAAAATCAATGTTCAATATCGACTGTTAAGTTTTATGAGAGTTGAAAAAATAACAGTAAAATTATTTTGTAAACAAAAGGAATGCCGTGTAGTAGTACAACATTTGAAAACCCTTTTTGCTTTTTTTTCCATATATGCATCTACTTGTATCCAATAACAGTTACGTATTTAATAACAAAGTTCAATATGAATACATACATACAACATAATATGATATTAATGTGTTCTGATAAAAATATTTAAAAGCTAACAGGAGGGTGGTGGTGGATTGATTATCACTCAAATTTTAAAATTGTATACGCACACATAATATTACATAGGTAGTACCCAGAGTTATTTTAGCAAAATAGTCTCATTCATTAAACGGCGCACTTTATAAGTTTGATAACCATTACGCTACTGCAGCTGATGTAGTTGCTGTTTTTGAACACTTCATACATAATTTCGCGTGTTACTTTTTCTTACTAGTACAGTGGTGAAACGATTTGCAAACTTTCGACAATTATTTTATAATTATTCAGTTTTTATAAGCGTATAACTATCATTTTATCGTCGTTTAATTAAATGTCTTCATGGTATTCGAATAATATCTTAATTTAAATTGATAGTTTATAAATATATTTATTACATCGGAGTAAAAAACCAGATATACGGATCGTTACACGATATTCCGTCGACTATGATCGAGAAATAGAGATTTAAAAATGCGATTAATTATATATTTTATTATTATTATTATTATTTTGCACTCGATCCATGATAAAACCGGAATTTAAAAATATTCTAATAATTTATGCGATATTAATATTATATTATATTAAGAATGCCTCATAGAGTACACTGCATATTATACAAGAACAGTGTAATATAATTATTGAAAAATGCAATTCCTATACATATATATACATTTTATTATAAAAAAAAAAGGGTTTTATTTTATCGATCATCGATCGGATTCGTTCCAAGAGTAAATACATTACGTACTTAACCGTCTAGGTAGTATGTGTATCGCTCAGTAAATAATTTGCCGTGTATAAGAATAGTATTTTTATGTATCAATGTATATAACCAGTGCAGTTCATACGTACCGCATCTATATATACAGAGTGAATTTTAAATATGCTCACTCTGTAATGTATTTAAATTATGCCTTATTATGATGGCATTAACACATTAATAAGAGTTTCAAAAAATATGTACTTTTTCGAATTCTAATTTATGATCAATTTACAAATACTTATAACACACATACATATAATATGCTATAATTATAAATTACTCTACATTGATTATTTTTGTTCCCTTTAAAGACATTATCCTGTGGCAGTATAACACTTTAATTTTCAATTGGGAACATCTTTTTTATTACTCAAACATATTTTTAGTTGATTTTTTTGAAATTTTTTACAATTGGACAAGAACTTTTTTAAATAATTAATTGCGTATGAAACATGTAAAATAATAATTATTTTACATCAAATATTGGTGTATTAATATTTTCCTTTTGTGGAATAACAATACCGTTACCAGTTTTTAAATAAAATCTACATTTAGCTATAAAGTAAAACTACATAATCTTATCATTAGATAATAATTATTTTGTTATATGGAACAAAAAAAAGAAATAAAAATATATAAATATATACTTGGTTCTTCACAGATAAAATAACATTGATTATGTAACGTCATAAGTATCAGAAAAATATAGTACTCATTTATTTGCGTGAAATAAATATTGTCCGCATTTGGAATACAAAAGTGAATTGAAAACCTGTGCATTAGAAAATATAGCCATACATCAAAATATCCACCAACCAAAATTTAATTCACAATTCAATCGTTAAAAAAAAGGGGGCAAACATTCACGCAGGACATCATCCCGTATCGAACAAATTATATGATGTTGGCGAAAATATTAGAATCCATGCGCGACAAGACAAAACGTTATAAACAAATATACACGTGCGCGTGTAAACGAGTTGTAGTGCAGTTGGACGGCTTGGAGTGGCAAAAGTAAAATCCTTTGCTCATATTCTGTTTTCCAAGGAATAGGAATCTCGGACGGGGAGTTGATAAATTGGGTCCTAAATAATCTTTTTTCGGTAAATTGGGTCCCGGGAAAAGAAAGGTAGTAGGTTAAGTCCAAGGTAAACAATTTTTTTTAAATATCTAATAATTTTTATTAGAAGTCAATTTTAATATTATTGTGTTTTTTATTACATTTTCAGTAAAAACTTAAAAGATACGAATTTAACAAACTCAAATCGACGTACAGTACGAAATGCACGCTACGAAAAATATAGTGAAAATGCTCAAATTTCGTACATTTGTCTCTGTGTGTAATCATAAGAACTATCATCAATATTGGTGTTAACTGATAACTGACACACGATTTACGACAAACTAATGTATGTATATGCCTACATACGTTTCTTAATTAGACATTATCAAAGTTACGACGTTACGAAGTTATTTGATCACAATGGAATCGATAACCGATAGAAACAGTGTGAATTGTCATTTGTAAAACGACTACGGTGAGGTAGTTAGTAGTTGGGACTCAATTTATCTATTACCTTTTTTTCCCCGGGACCCAACTTACCTAATATATTTTTTTTTCTCGGGACTCAATTTATCACTTTCAAAATGTACACAAAATATCTCGGACTCAATGTACCTAGTCCCCTTGGACGCGGAAACGAATTGCACATCATCGTCCTTTTCGGCACGCAATCTACTGTTGCACGAGCATACACGGTGTAAATCGTTATAATTTCATCAAACGGTGTCGCATGATATCCATAGACGAAATTATGGTTATTTTTGTGTTGGGGAATATATATATTTATTTTTTGTATCACGTTAGTTATAGTTAGTAATTTGTATTTGTACTTATTATGTGGAGGATAGATATATTTTTGGGCGGCTAAGCCCCCTCTAGCCACCACCTAATTGCTAATATGATAATATTGCACGTGAATATTTAACATGCTACACAAACGTGTACTTTTTTAAAAAAAATAAAACGGGATGTTGGAGAATTGATTCACCATCGACTCTATGTGCTATAATTAAATACCGGATCAGTATTTTTTTATATATCGTTACTTGGTCTAAACAGTTGTATGAGAGTAAAAAATGTGGACGATTCATTCAATTTTGAGTTTATAGAAAAACGTTTTTTTTGCATATTTGAGAATATATCATAGGTTTGAGAATATTTAGCCCATTTAGCATATTTTAGAATATTTGAGTTTTGTTTCATAGTTGGAAATTGTACAAACTGTTATCAACAAAC